CTCGCTTTCGAGAGAGCAGGTGACACTACAAACACAAGCCAACGATGGAAAGTGCCGTGGTTCGCGTCCTCGTAGTGATCTCCGATATAGTTTGAGTGGCCTAGGCACCTACTCCACTTGGGAAGGGGACACCTCAGATTTCATTTCGCGCGGAGGATATTCAATCGATGATGGAGGCATATCTGGATAACTCAGGGTTTTTGAGACGTTCCCCTTGGTGGATATTCACGGATGAGGGTTGACTCGGGGTGAAGAAAAAGCCACCATAACTTCGCAGTGGTACTTGCAAATGAAATCCGAGGCATGAGTGCTCTTCCTATATATTGAATCATCGAATATGTACTTTTCTTTAAGATTTTATCATAGCTGGATAGCTGTATACGCAATTAAAATCTGATGTATGAAAAAAAATAGATTTAGAGTTGAGTGGAACTAAGCGACTGTGGATATAGAAGGCTATAGAATGTAGTGTGTGTTTGTGTTTATTGCACTACTTGAATCTGTGACTATCTAGCATATTGGGCTCCCCTCTGACCCAGACCACACCTTATACAGTGCTTCTTGCCTCTCATGTTTTCTCAAAGATAATTGATATATTGCCCTTAATGAATAGCCATTCAGCTCAGTGTTTACCCGTGGGATTCAGCCACCTTAATAGAATGATGTGTATGTATATAAAAATAGCGATTCTCTAATCTTGAATGTAAGTATGCAATTCTACTACTTCATTGCAACCTACCTTTATCTACAACTCTTAGTGAACGTACAGTTAGTTACCACTAACTATTATACCTCCCATGGCCTTACGTTTATGACACTCTCGGACTGACTCCCGATTTGTTTAACATTGCGTTCGGAACATTTTTCAAACAGGTAGTGTGACGGCTGGTAAGCCGGTAATTGAATGCGGCCTGCACTGCCTAACGCAGGCTTAACGTAGAACTATGTGGAGATTATTCTTGGAAGCAGTGCCTTACAAGTGAAAATAACAAAATTGTGAAACCCTCGAGAATGAGGCGCAAGAGTGGGATATGAGAACGAGTATACGGTTGTACGGATAGAAAGCTATGTCATTGGCTAGGATAATATTCATGTATAAAGTAGCTGTTAATATCCTCCTTTGCTGCAATAAAGAGTGTCGCCGGTTTGCAAGTGAGTTGCTCCAATTTGAGTTGTCAAACAAAAACTGAATACGGATGATTCACATTAGATGATGATACTGAGAAATATGTGGTTTGGGTAAATTTTAGATATGAACTATTCTTGCTTTCTAAAAATTGAAGTATAAATTCACTTATTATCATTACAATGCAAGGCTTCCGTGGTCCAATGGTTAGGATTCCACCCTTCCAAGGTGGAGGTTCGTGTTCGATTCACGGCGGTTGCAAATCTTCTCCAGCCCATAACATATTTTGGACGAGGAGTGAAGATGTCCTAGGTACAAAGTTTTTAAGGAGGAAAAACAATTATTAGGAGTGTAACATTTATTATCGTATTTTATTTTGCTATACGTACACAAGAGAAGATATATCAATTATACCAAATAATCCTACGACAATTTAGAATATTGGGCTCCTCTCACTCAGGCCACACCTCATATATTGCTCCCATCCTCATTTGCTACCTGAAAGAACTGTGATATATAGCAAGTGATGAATAGCAATTCAGCTCAGTGTTTACCCATATAATTTGGCCACCTCCCCCCCACCATAGTCAGCACCGCGTGAGGAAAAGCTAATTGAAATTGGGGCAGTAGGTAGACTCTTGGGACCAAATCCCTTCAGACAGTGGCTGGCTACACGACCTACCCTTGACTTGTTCGTATTCTCAGACGGAGCTCTAATAGAAGACCGAGCAGGTGCGGGCTATGTCATCTACCGAGGCCTTACGCAGGAAATTGGACGAGGATCACTCCCGCTCGGAAACTCGGCAGAAGTGTATGATGCAGGAATTTCCGGGGCCACTGAAGGTCTTGCCTCAGCTCTTCGCAACTAACTAGCCTATTATGCCTCTAAAGTCACTGTCTGCCTTGACAACCAGGAGGCTGCCATCCGTCTACTCTCTCATGTTCCCACAGCGTCTAGCTCAGCGAAAATCTTTCTCTTTCGCAAGCTTGCAGCAAACTGAAAAAGAAGGTCACACGGCCAAAATACAACGCCTGGGGAAGCGGCCATCCGATGGTGCCTGGGCCACGCGGGTATTCTGGGAAACGAAGCTGCCGATGCGCTTGCCAAGGCCGCTTGTGCGGCTCTAGCTCTACACTCGGTATTCTCTATTGCGAGGGAAAAAAGGGAAGTCAAAGCCCGATACGAGGCTTCTGTTGCACTTTACTGGGCAGAAAATTCTCCATCTAGATTTAAAGAATTAGGAATTGGTCCTAGTACTAAGATTACTGCCGAGCTCGCCTGTCTAGGGCGACGCATACTAGGATATCTATTAGCTGCAAGATCTGGACATGGCAATTTCGTAAACTACCACCTACGTTTTCAGCACGAAAACGCCATTCTAACCTGCTCATGCGGAGAAGAAAAGTCCCCCAACCACTTTTTCTATTGCCACCTTGGGCAGTACTAGGCACAGATCCACAGAGCACAGAATCCTAGACCCAGCATATCTTGGGCTCTCACTTCCGCGGGGGGAGTTCATGCATTTAATAGCTGGGTGCGTGTCACAAATTTCGTTGGAGAAGCACAACAAGTCTGACCGAAAGGGAATCATGTGATTCAACTAAGTTCCCTCTTCCATATTGTTTATTTAATCTATTCTTCATTCAATACTATCTGAGAGCATGAGAGTTGAAGGGAGACCGGTAACCGTGCATAATTCAATCTTCAAGCGCAGGATGATAAGGTTCTGGCTTTCATTTACTTTATTGGGACTGTTTGGGCGCCAACACGTCGGGTAGTTTTATTTAGGCTGAGCTAGCCGGCAAGTGAGGAGCTCAGGTGCTGTGCACGGGCACGACGTTAAGTATTCTAAATAAATAAGTAGATTCGACCACCTTTTTCATGGAACCTTCTACTCAAAAAATAAAAATGGTAGCAATGGAAACTGCGTGCGCGGGAAAGAGTCTTAAAAAAACCTGTAGCCGCAGCCAGGCGAGGCCTAGACACCAGGACCACATGAGGTGCGCATATTCACCTATATCTCTCTTTTTTGTAACAGTCGAGGCCGACTTTTTCCAATCCACCATCTCCGTATCGGGTGCTGGGTACGCTCCGGAAACTCATCGGACGGCATCTCCTCCATGATCAATGGTTGGTGATGAGTAAGGCTCCGACCCTACCATCTGATCTGATAGCAGCATGCCACATGATAACGGTGATGGCGGAATTGTGTTGTGACAGACGAAGACGATACAGACCACGAAAGCGATTGGGAATCCTCGTCGAAGTTAGGACTTTGTCACTCAATGTCAGCTCTGCAGACTTTACAGTGAGAGCTGGAGGTTCGTAGGGGATACTATTGACAGGTGTTGAGAATAGTCCCCCTATTTCATCTGTAGCGGCAGGGTTCTACAGCCAACATTTACAACTTAATACCGAGTCCCGCGTATCTTGTGAATTTTGTAGGCATTTATAATTATACCTTTATTCGTAGATACCACTGCGCGGTGAGTTTTTTCAAACGAACAGGCGATTATCGTTCACAAGTGCTCATGAAGAGGAAATTTCAAAATCTTAATTTGTTCAAACTATCTAGACTCAACCTTGAAAATTGGCCTCCACTGTCATCCCCGCAGTGTCGCCAGCACTTAGGTAAATGAAGTAGTGACTTTTGTATTGTTCTTCTGTATCAAAGCTTCGAAAAATATTTTAATACTTCTTCCTTCGATATTATTTCTGTTCTCGGTGTATGTCGTGCTTATCCTGACGTCTTTCAATTCTATCCTAAGATCCTTCGCACCAGGTTTGTGCGTCACGATATCTGTCCTCTAGTGGGTTTTCATGAGTGATAGGCGTCTATTTAAAGACCATCTTAGAGTAGAGACTGGACCTGGAAAGTTATATTCATTGAAGCCAGGATCCACTAGCTCATTGCTGTAGACATACTAAAGCTTTGTTCGGAGTATATCCTGTTAGGAATGAGTGATAAAAGTAGTCAGGAACCTTAATTTATAATAGGAGTTGGCCTACAATAGGATGGTTTATGATTGACTATGGCTCTAGGAGGGCATTCATTCCCCAGTTCATGGTGCATACTGGCACAGGATTCTCATTCTTTGACCTCTGATGTCAAATGCAACAGGTCTCAGGACAGCTTATATTTCAAGTAAAATTCGTTACCAACGTCTAATGAGGCGTTTGAATAAAATCTGTATATATCAAAAATAACTAAAAAATTAAGCCGTGATTTACACATTGACAAATCCCGGATATAATATGTTTATTTATAGCATTGGAGTTAGCAAGACTCTTTTGAGCTAACCGCACTTTACTGGTATATTTTTGGTAAAGAATTTCACTTAATAACTTACTTTTTGACATCAATCAGTAGAGGAAAGAGGCTTAATTTTTATTCATGAACATTACTTCACAGAAATATTTTGAAGGATTCTCCACCGATAACGAAAATGTTATTGTTGAAACAATCACGAGTATCTTGACCTTCTAATTATAGAATAATTTTGTTTATTATGTGAAAATTTTCTGTTCATGAAATGCTATTTAAACAAGCGTTGTAAGGGCCGGTTTGCTTTTGCGAATGAGTGAAAATTTAATTTGTGAGCAAAAAGCCAAATGGATTGGAGTCTCAGGAAACTATAAAACTTGGGCATAGCACATGTTTTGGCTATTCACTTAACAAAAAGAGCTCGGTGGATACGAATTGGGTTCCTATTTTATACGCCCTGATAAATTGTGGGAAAGAGGATTTAAACCTTCAGATCACCTAGGCTATCTTTAAACAATTGTTCTCTGCAATTTCTTGATCTTATTCTTGTCTATTGCAAGTGAGATTTCGTAGTATCTAGTGTTATTGAAATTTTGCTTTTTTAATTATCAAGTAATTGATGTTCTTGATAGGAGTTGTGGTATATCATCAACCGTCTTGCGGCCTTCTAATATATCTATTGATTATGAGTACTTGGACTTTATATGATGAATATTAAAAGAGCGAAATCTCGAAGGAATACATACCAAGAACAGCTTTAAACAGCGGGTAGCCCTCTTCTCTCCCCTTCACTTTCAAGAACACATTGACCTCTTTTGCTGTAGAAGTTCCTTGCAGTTTTTGGCCGTTCAACTCTTTCTGTTCAACCTCTGTCACACTCAAGTTACGCTCGATTGATAGCTTAGCGCATCTGAAATTTCGGCCACCCGAACAGCTAGTTATCAGGTCCGCAACTCCACAACTTTCCTCTGTAAACGTGCGCGTATGTACAGTCTCACCAAAAAATTCTTTTCCAAATCTAACCATCTCCAACAAACCTACTCGCATTACCGCAGCTTTTGCATTATCTCCCCATCCCTTTCCATCGACAAACCCGGCGGCAAGGGCCACTATATTTTTTAGTGCTCCACCTAGGGAGACACCAGCTACGTCTGAAACTATATTAACGTGAAAATATGGTCTATGAAAGAGAGTTTTAAAAATTCCATGATCGAGCGGTGGGTAATTTGGCGGAAGAGGTCTCAAATGTACTTTGCTTGCCCGACCCCGTACGTCCCGATGTGTCGCTATTGCGGAACCATTCAAAAAGGAGCAGGCAGGCGTAGAGGTTGTGGGCGTAGTGACTTGGGAGTCGATAGTCGGGGGATCGTAGGCTACCGTCGTCTCGCACCATTTCTCCTGCGCAATTTCATTGGCGATGTTGGCTCCGGATAACGCACCACAATATATTCCTAGTCCTTCTCCAATCGATTCAGAAAACAATCTGATCTCTGACTCGGTTACATCTACACCTTTGATGCAGGAAATCCCGCGAGCGTACGGTAGAATATGGCCTTCCAGCTGTTTCGTGATACGTCCGATAAATTGATGGGGAAGATTAAAAATAAGGATTGAGGCATCTTTTGCTGCATCTACCAAAGACGAGTTTGCAATAACGTTTGTCGGAAGGGTAATACCTGGAAGATATTTGATGTTTTCATGGTAGGTATTGATGATGTGCGTTAGCTTCTGAGGTTGATCGTTGCTTGCCGCGAAGTATTTAGAATCTCTTGGAAGTATCAAGTCTTCTTCATACACCCACATATGAACCTCTTCATGGAAAAGATCAGGATGCTCTTTGGTATTTTCTGCGACTATTTTGGCAATTGTTGAGCCCCTACCAAGGTCAGGATCATACTATTGTTGCATTTAACAGCATTATTAGATAGTGTAGATTACCAGTTGCCTGAGCCTATAACTGTCACTTTATGCCTCTTCGTTGAAGCTGTTAAAAGATTCATGTTTGCTGGGATATTCGAGAAGTGGGATTTCTGCACACTTTGACTTATCCACTGAGTTACTCTTATTGGCAGTCCCATGCGCTCAAATTTGGCGCCCAGACTGCAGAAAATCTCAGGACAGAGCGAGAGGTGTATAGATAGCGGAATATTAGACTAATCAAGATTGAAGCGTGTTTCCACGTCTTAACTTAAATGATTCTTACGCCGCGCATTTTCTCCGATAATAGATAGATAGAAACCTGGGCCTCAATTTATAATGTGCTTAACCATCTAAACTTAACCCAGGTGTTCAACATCAAGCGACGAGGCTTTGTAGTACAAAGTTCAGAACATCGATAGGACACCCCTGACTGGGTAAAATGTGTGAGAAGTAGTACTGTGTCGTACGCATTGTTCATGCGATAAATTCCTAGTGCAGCTTGCAGAAAAAAGAATCAGTCAAATATTACAACAGTCACAATTAACCAAAGTAAGCACAGCGATCGCAGATTATGATTATTGTATCCTCTCACAGATTTCGAGGTTTACATACCACTTCCCGAGAGACAACACTGACGCACATAAAATGATGTTTAAATTCCACTGCAAAATTAAAAAATGATAGTAGAGGATCACCAAGCATAGGCAGTGGTTAAATTTAATTCAATAATTTTACGTATTTGGCTAGAGCTGAACATCCAGGAGGCTTCATACACATACATAGCCCCTGAAGACTCTCCACTTTCAATATAGCTGGCTATTTCTAACCAAGAAATCACATGGGCGGAATGAGGATGAAAAAACAATACATTTTCAGCTCTCAACTCACGCATGATTTGCTAGATTTCTCTTCGTAGTTTACTCGAATCATTTGTAGGGTATCACAGTTTAATTTGATGAGCCAGATGATGGTGCCTTGATATCTTTTTCCTAAGTGATTCTACGTAATGAATACAGATCATCACTACCTATTGATAAAAGGCGCATGTTGCTAGTCATGATTACTTCTTTCTATGAGTCATCTACGGCTCGTAATAATGAGTAATATCATCCACAGGTATTTTTTTCACCTTGACCATTGATGAGTGATGATCTCTTTAGAATACCTTTTGTCAATTTAAAGAAAGGTAGGCAGAATTCATCTGTATGTAAAATTGGTTATGATGTAATGAAATGTTGGCGTGGGCTTGTGGACGAGACTCAATACCTCTCAATGTCCCTTCCAAGCCTCTTGCTCCTTATATTCCTTTTTTTAATTACTTATCATATCCACACCTCTCCAAACATGACGCAATGAGCAGTACTGTCATACCTGATAATTTTTGAATATTCCATTCCCCTGCTCTCGGTCGTCGCAGACATTCGGAAAACGAGAGAACGAGCTCCCGGAATTCTTATCATGCCGCTTATTCGGAAAAAGCATCAAAAAGTCTTGTAGGACAACATAAAAGTCCGCCCGAGGGCTTCCGATCAAACAACGGGCCTTGCCAAGTCTTCAAAATGCGTGGAGATGGACCAAACCTCGATTAAAGGGAAGTGAAAGCCCATCCCGCTGTCAACGAGCCTGAAACTGACATGATCGGGTCAGTTAAATTTGGTAAGGAAATCCCTCAGCCAGCCTCCGTCCCCCACGGGATTGGGGAATCATCTAAACCTCCTCAGACCACATCTGAACCATCGGAGAACGCTGCGCCGAAAGCAGACTGCCCCTCAGAACTTCAACCAATTGTCGAAGCCGAGCAACGACGTGCCGCCCCCATTAACGGCGTCGAAACATTTATCCTCCCTTTGACCAACGGGTCAAATAAACAATTCTTAGATTCGATAAGGGTCTACTTACGCGCCGCTCATCCTCCATCCTCGCACGGCGAACCCTCTCCCAAGGGCTCCCGACGCCAGGAGCCAAACAATACCCGCCGTCAAAAAGCACCTGGGCAACTGTGGCCAAAAACGGACTGCGACAAAAAGTATCCCCTACTATAAACGCTGTACCGCAACCAACGGCCACAGTCTCGAAAAAAGAAACTCCCAACGCAAAAGTCAACAAACGACTATTTCTTCGCCTTGAAATCGACCATCCATGGCGGAAACTATCTCCCCTCTGTGCCAAAGCTGCTGTCGAGAAACATACTGGCAGCGGTAACTCATCGACTCAACTTATCCACTCAAGTCTGGATTTGCTTATCTGGCATATCCCAAAGAAAATAGACAGGTTTTTTTAGATGCCTCGTAGAGTCTTGCGATACACAACGCCAGACTCGAACCATCTTCGGACCTTATCACTGACAGGAACCACAACGTGCCTGTGAAGACCAAAACGGCGTACAGATATTTACTGGTCTGCGAATTATGGGTCGCTGAAGGAATTGAATGAGTGACTAGTGTTGGAAAACCGGTATGGGTTCTATGAGTAAGGCGGCTCAAAGAATATGGGCGCGATTTTATGAATAGAATAATAATGATATGAATCGGGAGAATATGTGATAAACTCTGGAGAAATAAAAGATGGTTTGAATAAATTGAATTGAATTGAAATATCTGTCTTAGTGATTCCTAGACAGCTTATATACATGTAATCTTGATAGACCAAATCCAGACTAGATACCATCCATCATTCGTTCCATACTCTAACAATGACAATGAAACGCACGACAGTATACAATATGAGTATGGGGCGAATGATGGATGGTATCTAGTCTGGATTTGGTCTATCAAGGTTACATGTATATAAGCTGTCTAGGAATCACTAAGATAGATAATCTAATCAATTCAATTTATTCAGACCATCTTGAATTTCTCCACAGTTTATCACATATTCTCCCGATTCATATCATTATTATTCTATTCATAAAATCGCGCCCATATTCTTTGAGCCGCCTTACTCATCGAACCCATACCGGTTTTCCAACAGATTATGAGACCAAGTTAGCTCACCTTATATCGAAGTTGAAGCTTTACTTTTTATCGAATATTATCGGGAAGTTCATAGTGAATCTTTTTTGAAGTTTTTATTTCTATTTCTACTGGAGCTTAATCTATAAAACACTCAACAGAAAATATGTCGTCGGCACAGATCCTTAAGTCCATGAGGCATGCTCCAATATTAAGTAAGTCGACGTATAATCGGTGGAGTTCTCTCTTTAGTGATGTTTTATCACTTTATGATTTACAGCATTATATACTGGAGGAGGTGTCTGATCTAAAAGTTGAGGATTCCAGAACGACAAGTGCTGCTCGCGATATTCAGAAGGTTGACATGCACATCAGGATTGCCATGTCACAATTAGTACCTGATATTGCATTCCATCTGGTTCATTCGACTTACACTTCGAAGGAATGTTGGGATAACCTGAGGGAGTTTTACTGCCCTAACCCTTCAGGTGACCTGGATGATCTACTAGAAGAATTCTGGGGAGTATCTATCGAAGACGACGACGAAGTTGGTCTCATAATCTGTTGGAAAACCGGTATGGGTTCGATGAGTAAGGCGGCTCAAAGAATATGGGCGCGATTTTATGAATAGAATAATAATGATATGAATCGGGAGAATATGTGATAAACTGTGGAGAAATTCAATTCAATTTATTCAAATCATCTTTTATTTCTCCACAGTTTATCACATATTCTCCCGATTCATATCATTATTATTCTATTCACAAAATCGCGCCCATATTCTTTGAGCCGCCTTACTCATCGAACCCATACCGGTTTTCCAACAACTAGCATGCTCTTTTTAACCGGGACTTTGCTCCTCGCGCGTGCTTCCACCTTTTCGACGAATCTGGAATGGCCACCATCTACATAGCTCTTCGCCAAATTGAACAGTGCAAACACTGTTGGGGCTTCAACGCCACTAGCGGTTGCACCCGCGCTCTAGCCTGCTAGAACTGTGGATCAAGTATGCACTACGATTCCGAGTGCAAGGCCCTCACCAAGTGTCGCAACTGTGGGGAACCTCACCGATCAGATTCTCGAGTCTGCCGAGCCAGACCCAGAAAGACTTGGCCTGTGAAAAAAGAGCATCTCGTGTGAATTCGCCAAATCGGGCAAGGAAGGCTTGCTAGATTTGCCCGTGTCAAAGCTGCAGCCAAAAAGACTGAAGAAGAGATCGTCGCCTCTTAAAAAGACGTCACTATGGCAGAATGTTCGGGTTTTGGAAAACTAGAATTCGAAGAAGAAGCCTGAAGATTCGGCAGGTCTTTGTGAAATCTACAAAGACGCCATCAACACAGAGCAGGAAACTGGCCGAAAAAGAGAGGACCTGCGAGCCCATCTTTCCCTTTCAGCGGAGATTAGGAAAAGTCACTTGGAAAATGTGATGAGAAATGGAACGGGCAAGGAGCAGGGCATCTAGTGCACATGAGAAATTCCTCCAAATTTAATTTATGTTTTGCTGTTAACTTCATCTCCTTGTGTTGAGGTTCCCGCGTTTGGAATGATTTGGGCCTCTTTGTAGTGATCCCCGCCAGCTTCATCGATCCTCCTCCCGTAGTGGACAGAGAGTATTAGCATAGGACCAAATGAAACAAAAATAGTATTAGTGTTAGAGAAACAGATCATGTCCTAGTAGATAAAACGTGGAACCTCCAGTATCGGATTACACGACTCGCTTAGTTACGAGCCGTGCACAGTCTGGACAATAGACGCGTCAGTTAGTACTCACCAAGTAATGTAAGCGACGAGTCGTAGAGACGATCTGTCAAGTGAAGGAGTAGTCATTCTTTGATTACACAAGTCATTGACAGAGTACTTCTCAGTTATACGAGAGAATGAGACACGTTTAGAATAGAGTAGATAAGTGGAACACAGTTTGGTGGATGGGAACTTCTATAAGACCCAACTCATATCATTACTGTGGGATATCAATTCAATACTGATTCATCTACGCCTTACATTTGCTGTGCAGTGTCTCTTATCAAGTTATACAAGTGATCAGGTACGTATATTTTAATAATTAGTGCTATATACATATGTTGGATGAATCTTTAGGCTATGGATAATCTCATTATTTGCTTTGCTTTTGCAACTGATTTCTTGCCGTGAGTGGGATAGGAGGCCAATCAAAGCAGACTCTACCTGGAAGACCAGCCCGGATGAAA